ATCCTATTTTTACCGAGTAAATCCTTTATTTCAAGCCAAAAATAATGCAATGTTTTACTAAATAAAAATTTTACCTCATAAAACAGTTATTTATGAGCCAAAGCAATGTGTGATCTTTGTAGATAAAGCATTTACTAAATAAACTTACTTTTAACTAAATGTGATATCTTTAAATTATTATGACCAATACCCCTTAATTTTGGAGTTATTTTTAGTTTATCCCCGAACTTCAAAAAACACTCATTTTACCTCCTGAATTTGAAGTGTTCCCACTTAATTCTTTATGTTTGAATTTCTATTAAAAATTGATAGAAAAGGAGAGTAATGTAATCATATGGTATTTCTATTTCAATATATGTAAAAACAAACGAATAAAAACAACATCACCACACTTAATCACTTTTTTTCTCATCTGATTTTAACAAAAATTCAATTTTATTAAAAAAAAAAGTACACCAGCTCTCCAAGGAAGGCAATGTGAGATTTGCAACTGAGTGTGTGGTTGTTTGGAGCATACGAAACATCGGCTCTGTTAACACTTGTTGGGAAGATATCACGTATAAAACTGGTTTAACACACTTTAAGAGCCTAACTTAGTTTAAAAGGTAAACCTTTTGGGATGTAAATAAACTATTTCACATTTTCATCCATTTTTATGTAGGACAATACACACATACATTTTCTCAACATTTATAAGAGTAAAAAACAAAATGCAATAAATTGACAAAGAATTCGTTTATTCACATAGTAAAATTTTAACCATTTTTTTTTTAAAATTTAGTAAATACACTAGTTTATTCTGTTTAGATAAATTTAAGTAAATGCTTTTATAAATAAAATTGTTTTAGCTAAAATTTATAAATTTGTTTTATATTTAGAAGATTTTACTCGAAATTTTTTTTTTAATCCTCAATCAGATTGCATGTGTCAACCCAAAAATTAGAAAAACCCTAATATCATTCCCACCTGGGAACTTAGCCCCACAATCTTCCAAAGATGAGTTCCATGAGAGAAAAATCATGATAGAGAAGATGGTTTGGAATTTAATTTTTTTGCTTAATTTTTAATTTAGGAAAATCTGATTTACATCAATTAGGAGTTGTTCTTTTGTCCAAAAAAACTAAAAAAAAAAAAAAACTCGAGTTTCAACTTTATTCAAATTTATGTTCTTTTAAGTTCTAATTTTATTCAACTTTACTCAACTTTATTCAAGTTACAACTTTAACTCAAATTATAACTCAAATTCAACTAAAAAATTACACTCAAATTATACTCAAAAAAACCACCCCAGTTTCTAAACCGAATTTTGTTATTGTTTTCACAAATTGGTCTCTTTTCTTGGAAATTTGTATCAGCAATGCCTTTTTTTTTTTTTTTTTTTTTTTTTGGGATGGGATGTGGGCAATATTTTGAGAAAAGCTCAAAACTATCTTTTCATAGTATTAATATTTCTGACATTGACCTCAGTAATTACAACTGTCCCTTTATTAAAATAGTTAAGTTTTTAGCACATTTACTTCCTGAATTTGTTGTGCTTCAGTATATTACCCCCTAAATTTTTAAATTTTACAATCAACATCCTTAACTTGTGAAACTGTTGCATTTAACCCTATTTCACAAACTTCTTTAAAAAGAAACGGAATTTGACACGTGCCACTCACATGTGGGGTTTTAATGGGACATAACCAGTATTCTATATGCCATAATTATTAAATAAAATATTAACAAAAAAATCTAAATTAATTTCAACCATTTATCTCCATCCAATGGAAAATTTTTAATATTTTTTGTAAGTGAGACAAAAGAGGGATTTCAAAGATACAAAACCCTGTTCATTTCGCTGATTCGAGTTTAGAATTTGAGTTTTACTACAGTAAAAAGTTCTCACAAACAGTCACATCTAATTTTTTTACTACAGTAAAAAATTCTCACATAAAATTACATCTCAACTCAAATTAAAAACTCGAATCAACGAACTAAACGGCCTTATGAAATTTCATTGCAATATATTTTGGCTAACCAAAGTTGGTGGTATTTTCAGCTTGAGGCTCGGAAACAATGCTGAGAAGTAAATTGCCTTTGCAGGAGCTTATTTCCCGCCATCTCACTCTTCAAAAATCCCACATAAACAATCCCATAATTAACAACAACAAGAAAAACCCAAATCAACTTCTCTTTGAAAAGCTATTATCCCACTTGAAAAAATGCATTTCCATAAAACAACTTCAACAAATCCAAACCCAAATGCTCATAAACTCCATACACAAACCCAACTTCCTTCTTTCCAAAGCCATTGACCTCAAAAGCTTTGCCTACGCTTCCGCGCTTTTCGCCCACATCCCCGAACCCAACGACTACGCTTTCAATGTCATGATCCGTGGTCTAACCACGACATGGCAAAAATATGGTCTTGCTCTTGAATTCCATTGCCAAATGAAGGGTTTAAGCCTAAAGACCAACAAATTCACCTACCCTTTTGTGTTCATCGCTTGTGCGAACCTTTCGACGCTGAATCACGGGCGTACTGCTCATTCGTCGGTCTTTAAGATTGGTTTGGATGGTGATGAGCATGTCAGTAACTCGCTGATCACAATGTATGCGAGATGTGGCGAATTGGGGTGTGCCCGGAAAGTGTTCGATGAAATTACCCAAAGAGGGTTGTCGTCATGGAATTCGATGATCTCGGGGTATTCGAAGATGGGGTACGCGCGGGAGGCAGTGGAGTTGTTTGGAGAGATGAGGGATGATGGCATTGCGCCAGTCGAGATGACGTTGGTGAGCGTTCTAGGGGCGTGCGGAGACTTGGGAGATTTGAGTTTGGGAAGATGGGTGGAGGAGTTTGTTGTTGAAAAGAGTTTAGAAGTGAATTCTTATTTGGGTTCTGCATTGATTGGTATGTATGGAAAATGTGGTGATTTGTGCTCTGCAAGGAGGGTCTTTGACAGTATGACTAAGAAAGATCTTGTAACTTGGAATGCCATGATTTCAGGGTAAGTACTTCTTCCTTTGTCCTTGATAAGTCCCATTTTAGTACCTTGTCGTTTGACACTTTTTCAATCTAGTATTCTCATATTTGGAAATTCCTTTTGAGATAGCCTTTATTCAAAAAAATATCACTGACATATCTGCATCCCGCTTTTGAGACATACCCTTTCAATCCAGAAAGATAATTAAATAAGAAAAACCCACAAATTCTAATGGAACATAAAATCTAAAAAAGTAAATAGAGAAACCAAAACTCAAAAATAATTTCAAATCAACCCCTCATCACCAAAAAAAAAAAAAAAAAAACCTTCCAAAGTGCAGTTTCGTCATTTTACGCATCAGAAAAGTGTGTCTGGGTATCTAGGTGATATTTTTGTTTATTTCTTTTTTTGGAAGACATCGGTGATATGTTTTAGAACACACCTCAATGAGTTTTTCTAGACACAAAGATACTAAATTGAGAAAATGTTAACTTACGGGTACGAAAATAACATTTCCTTAATAAAATCAACATATTTAAAAATTAAAAATTTTACTGGAATATGCATGCTAAATGACTGTTGACATTCTTTTTTACTTTTTCTTTACATTCATGACAGGTATGCTCAAAATGGATTGTCAGATGAAGC